AAGGCAGGACAGAAGTCCCTGGTGGAGCAGAAAGCCAAATACTTATTTGATCTTCGTTTTCAAATGTTGTTGATGCAATTGCAGATCTCAGAAACAGGTATCTACACTTAAATGGTTTCTTTTACAACTCCAAGAAATTCCCCAAACTAATGTCAAGCAACTGCTTTTTTTCACCATCAGATACTGTTCTGTGCTATGCAAGGCCTCACTTTATACTCTCTAGTTTACACAGCTAAGTGTGCTGATAATACCTTGTTATTTTTCCTGTGGTACCTTCAGTAATGACTGGCAGTCAAAGGGCATAAATGAGAGATGGATGGATGCACAGATTTCATGCAAAAACCAGAAGTGCAGCATGTCTTCCTCAACCATTCATCATGTTTGCAAGTAGGAGTAAAATTATTCTGTTTTCACTGGATGACTGGATTCCATAAGCAGCACAGCCATTTTTACTAGTACTTACTAGGTAAGAAATGTTCATATCTTTCTATCAAGATACTCTGTTCCACTCTCTTCTCAAATGGTTTAAGATTAGAGTACTGTAATTATTTCCCAATTAGTTTAAAAGTATAGCTTTTCAAGAACAAGTCCATATGATCTGCCTCCAGACAGCAGACCATTATTGGTACAATTCAACCCCTGTACTGTTTCCATGTATTACAGGAGGTGATGGAAAAGGGCCTCACACTTTCCTGTGACAGAGACAAACTCTTCTCTCATAGCCAGCCTTGACTTCTGAAATCAGGGATTTCTGACATGGAACCCCTTGCGAGAACAAGAGAGCGATCAGCAAGAATCAAAAAATGGTTTGATTTGAAAGAGACCTTTATGACCACCTAGTTCAAATGGAACTCTTCTGAAAACACACTCCCCAAAGCCCCTGGAGTTTCTGCTCTAAAACTCTTTACTTTTTTTAACCTATCTAATGACAAGTACTGCTAGAACAGCAAGTGCTACTGAATTAGATAGAGTAGGGGGGGAAAATACAGCAGTTACTTATTACTGCAGCAGCATGTAATACTGTATTGCCTTTAGGCTGCACCTTAAATGCAAAGCTCTTAATATCAGAAGCTCGCCACTTTTTTACAGAATTAAATAAACACTGAACAAAAAACCCCACTGTTTTTTGGATTTAACCTTTCACATGCTACAAAGACTGGAGTTTTCAACTACTGGGTAATGCTCCTCCCATTTAAGAGGACAAAACCTAAAATGTAATACAACCTCATGTGCAATACATTAGACTGAGAGAAAAATATCACGTTTTAAATACTGAGATTCATACACAGTAACTTACCTGCTGTCTGTGCAGGGTTTATTCCTATACCATCTAGGAAGAAGGAAAAAAAGAGAAAAAAGAAGATGTAACAGACATTTATTATACAATTTATTACATTAAACTTGCAGCTCAAAAAACATACCAGCAAGATACAACTATTACATCAGTCATCATGCAGCTATTTCCTATAGCCAAAAAATAGGAACTGACAAGAAAGCTTCAGCATAGAGAAGTCCAAGCTATATATTTGGACAAAACTGAATTAGTGGTTTAGTATCTTCACCCCATGCATAAGAAATTTAAATAATGCTGCAATATTATTACATTCAATTTGCAGTAAGTAGAGTTTGTGAAATATGAGACAGTATTGATTTTATCAATAAACTTTCACTGAAACCTCAATACAAAAACTATTAAAAATATATATAAACTATATTCTTACCATTTGTTATAATGGCACTTGTTGCTGCAGGAACTTTGAACTAAAGAAGTAAGAGTAGGACAAAACAACATAAGAGACATAGTTAAAGCAGAAAACATATGGATAATATTAAATTCATAACTTTAGCTGGTTCACATACAAAAAAATCAGAAAAGTGGTCCTTGAGATTTATAGATATAAATAACTTTAATGGAAATGGATGACTATTTTCGTAGTAATTCCACAAATGTAATGGAAATTTTTTTCTAACTGTTGTGCAAACGTACACCTGAGACATGTACCAGGTAGCTCTAAAATATGAAGGAAAAAACCCAATAGATACCACACACTATAAATGAGGTTTTTTCTAACTAGGGCAAGTCTGGTTATGAGTTGGCAAATTTTACGTTTTGGAGAGATGTCTCAGTAGAAACTAGCTAAGGCCAAATAGCCAGAACTTAAACACTTCTCTGCCCTGAGAGTTTTAATCACAGAAAGGATAACACACTTCCCCTGGAGAACAACTAACAACTTTGCCCAAATTTTGATCTTTTCCATATATGTATAACTTAAGGTACTGTGAAACTGGTTCTTGAATCACAACCCACTACATAAGTTAATATTAAGCTATGCAGTTCAAGGAATGAAAAAACATTCATATAACACAAATTATCTGTCATTCATTTCAATGCCAGTTCACAAGGGGCTTCATTACTGAGGAAGAGTTTAACAATCTTTTTTAAATTTTTTGCTAACAAAGCACTTCATTCTGCCCGGTCTCAAAGAGATGCAAAAAGCTTCAGTGCTGATCCAGAACAGCCTGAGGTCAAACTCCCATAGATACTCAAAATACTCACACCAGTTGAAAGAATGGCATCCTAAACGCGAACATTTAAGTCAATTAAGATTCTCTAAATCCATTACTGAGATGACCCTATCACTAATTAACATTAGGTTCCAAGAGTAGGTGAAGTTAACAGGTTTAATGGCAATCCCCACCAGAAATGGCACCTCCCTTTCAACATCCCCAACTACTCAGTCACACTCATTTCTGGTACCTCATACTTGCTTGTTAGACTTTCAGTCTAGGTCTCTATTTATGGGCTGTGTTGGCACAGCTGTATTAATATAGAATAAAAATAACTGGGGAAAACATAGTAAAAACCCCCAATTAAATAATCTAATATCTTTAACAGCAAGTAATAGTCTGTATAATGTTCTCTCCAAGCAAATTTACAACAAAACCGATCCACGACCTCCCCCCACAAGCTGTGTTTCCCTAATAACTTCTGTCACACCAGAGTGTAACAGCAAAAACATAAGGAGACTCAAGATGTGGAGTCTCTTATCCTTCTTAACTACTTTATTGCAATTGCAATGCTCAAACAAAAGAAATTTTCAATAACCCAAAACTTCCCAAGTTTTCCTAAAAAGACAGAGGGAAAATTGCAAGAACAGACTCTAAGTTGATTTTCTGCCAGCTGAGTGAAGGGACTCATTATGCTTCTGAGCACTCGATTTCACTGTTTATATCCAGTGAATGTCTCTCAATCTTTGTGTGCTTAATCTGAAACAACATGATACATCTCTTCAAACACATTATGTGGGCAATTTAAACACCTGATGATACAGGATTCCATGTGAAAGATTAACACACAGAAACTAAAGAATACACTAGCCACATTTTCCCTTAAGTGACTTTTTTGATTCTATTCCATATGGCTGATCTCAATACCTTCCACAATTAAAAACTGTCTTCCAAAATCAGAGATTACTAGAACTGAATGAGAAAAGAGTTCACTGAGAGCTCTGAAGAACTTCCCTGATATTCCACCAAAGAAATTTCAGTATTAAATATTGAAGAGCAGTACCTTTTAATTCTTTTCACTGTCACAAATTTTTAAATCACTACTATAAAATAGTTAATTACAAAAACAGAAATCACCTCAATGCCATCTGCTGATGCATAAATTGAGTAAGGATCACTAAGTTTAGGATTCTGCAAGTTCTGCCAGGTCCCCCCTGAGACCAGTAAAGCTTGTGACCATCTGTGACCAACAGCAGCTCCTTGAGCTGAATTAACCGCTGCACTTTTATCATTAAAAAACCTTTAGCTTTCAAGGACATGCAAAATGTTAAAAACCAACATCATCACTCTTTACTTACTTCTTCTGCAGCAAACTTGAGGACTGCTGTGAAAGGTGTGCTCTCAGGCACGCTTAACCTGAAATCACAACACAAGTAAATGCATGGCTGCCAAAACAAACCGAAAAGCAACTTTATCTGCTATTAAACTACTGACTGAAACTTCATTTTTACCAATGGAGATACTTTTTTTTTTTGCCAAAGCTGTGTAAGCTCTATTCAAGGGGAGAACAGGTCCCTGGGATGTGTGAGATGCTTCAAGCGAAACCTTTTTAGCAGAGAACAGGACACCTGTAAGTGTCAGCAGATGTGGCAAGTCTCAGGAGGTGTGCGATTAAGCTCCATAGCAATGTCCCCTCCAGGAGGAGAGAACTCGGCCTCAAGCTGTGGCAGGGATGGTTCAGGTGGAACATCAGGAGAAACTTTTCACTGAAAGGGCTGTCAAGCATCGGAATGGGCTGCCCAGGGTGGAGCCACCGTCCCTGGGGTTGTTCAAGAGAGGCCTGGAGGCGGACCGCAGTGCCATGGCCTGGCTGACAGAGCAGTGATCGGGCAAAGGTTGGACTCGGTCATCTCAGAAGTCTTTTCCAACCTGAATGACTCTGGACACACATGGCAGTGGGGCAAAGCGGGAGAGCCCCGAGAGCGGGGCTAACCACGGACATCGCCTGTCACTCCACACGGAAGGAGGGAGGGAGGGAGACAAGCGCCGTTCCCGCTGTGGGAATGCCCCGCCGGGATGCCCATTTAGAGCCCACCCGCGACGTGCCCCGTCTTCACTTCCCGCCGCCCCACGCAGCGCCGGCACTCACACTTTGTAAGGCAGCCGGGGGTCCGAGGTGAGCGTCACTTTAAATGTGACCTTGGACCTGTGGAGAGAGCAGAGGGTGAGGGCTGGGTGAGGGAGCGCGGGGGCTACAGGACCCCCGGGCTGTGCGTCTGTCCCTCCCTCCCGCACTCACATGGTGCTACCGGGGCCGCCGCCGCTCCCACCGACACGTCAACGCCGCCCGCAGCACGGGGGCCTTCCCCGGTCCTGAGCTGCCCTAGGTGCGCCTGATTACAAAGGGAAGACAACATGCCCCGGCGACCCGCTATGAGGCGGGGAGCGGCCGTGTTCTTCCTCAGTGCCGCACTGCAGCTGGAAAAGAGAGAGTCTGAGCGGTGGGCGAGGCGTAGCGGAGAATGGCAGGAAGGATTTCTAGTGAGGCAGTCGCGCTGGGTGTTCCGCGGCCGAGGTAGGACCCCGGCACCGGGACCCGGCGCTTCCGCGGGGGCTGCAGGGAGACGCAGGCGGGACGGGGAGGGAGCGGGGTCGGGATCGGGGGGAATCAGCGGGCTGCGGTCACACTGGGAGTATGTAGGAGTGGGGAGTTTGGTAACCAGAGGCCACGTCTGGTGTGCTGTGTCCGGTTTTGGACTCCTCAGTGCAAGAGGCTCCTCTCCCCCTGGAGAGGGTCCGGCGCAAGAGCGCAAAGATGGTGAGGGGTCTGGAGCATCTTAGGACAGGGAGAGAGGAGAGCTGGGCCTGTTCAGTGTGGAGAAATGACGGAGAGAGGCTCGATTAATGCGTATGAATACCCCAAGGACGAGTGCCAAGAGAATGGTGCCAGATTTTCAGTGGTGCCCAGCGACGGGGTGAGGAGCGATGGCCAGGCACTGAAACACAGAAATTCCAACTCGACACGAGAACAACTGCTTTACATTGAGGGTGGCAGAGCTCTGGAACAGGCTGCCCAGGGACACGGTGGAGTCTCCCATTCTGGAGACATTCAAAACCCACCGGGATGCATTCCTGTGTAATCTGTTCTAGGGGACCGTGCTTTGCTAGGGTTTTGGAGTAGATGATCTCCAGAGGTCCTTTCCAACCCTAATAATTTTGTGATCCTGTTTTGCTCTCAAACCAAAATGGTTTGCAGATGCTTGTTAAAGTTATGCTGGCAAAAGTGGGTTCAAACACTGATTCCTATCCCCTTAATATTTAAAACTGTTCGTATCTTTCTTGTGATGAGGGAACTAGAATGGGAGTTTTGTTTGGATAGGGATGCATTTTATGGCAGAAAAACAGCAGGTTCCAGTTTTGTTTGTCTGTGACTTTTGGCAAATCAATTTCTCTTCAATTAGGTGCCATGGAACTGCAAAGTAGTTTTTGTCTTTAATAGTCATGTATCTGCTAATGCAGGTGATGATTGAGTTTTCAACTCTGATGTGTCAGTATTTTCCTTATAGAAGATATTTGTCAGATTTCCCCAGTTTATCCTGTCTGCAGGAAGGACAGCATTCACTGCAGGTGAAGTATTTGGTGTCACACACTGCTTGCCAAACTGGTCATGGCAAAGCATTTGTTGTGTTCACCTTCACTGGGGTCTCATTTGGATTAAGATAGGTGCTGTACAAAAGGCAGGTGATACATTAAAGTCATTATTTTTTCCCTAAGGACTGGCTTCTTGCCCAGGTATGAAATCCAGCTTTTCACTCTTGCGCTGTTCTTACATGAACATGGACCAAGCTGAAAAAAAAAAAATTAAAAACCCAAGAATTTCACTATGAACTTGTCCAATGGCATTCATATTTCCCAGTCTCTCCTGCATTTTTGTTACTTTGTCTTTTTTCGTAGCCGTATTGGATTTGGGAGTTGTACACATCTTGTAATCCATTAATGATGTCATGACTTTTTCATCCGCCTGCTTTTAAGAGATCACATCTGAAATTGGAGCTAATTAATAGTCATCTCTTTATATTTAACCCTGCATTTTGTACTTTCAGCTAAATTTCATCCTATATTTATCATTGCCCTTTTCAAAATCAGCTGGTTTTTTATGCATTTTATGGGTTTGGCTTATGTGGCTCTCTTATCTGCAGCTTTCATTAATGCATTGCTGTCTCCTGTTTTCCAAGGTGTTGTATGCAGATGTGAAATAAAAGACTGATCTTTTCAGCATTTCGTTTCTGGTCTCTCACTTCAAGTACTTCCCCTCTCAGGAAATAAGCAGATCCAAATCTTCCTTTTGTTTGAACAGGACTGTGTTGGTAAGCAGATTTACTTGGTTAAATCTAGTTTGAGCATATGTGTGCTATAGTGCTGAGAACTGTCTAAATCCAGGCCTGGCTAGTCCTGTATTCTGGCCACGTGGTCTTGTCCTTTGTCAAGCAAAGGAATCAACACTAGTGACCAGATAAAGGATCTGTTCAGGAAACTGATTTGGCAAAATCCCCAAAAATTTAGGTGATTTAATGTGGTTGTCTTCAGAAACCACCAACAAAGAAGGACATGAGGAAGCACAGCTAGTTGGCAGTGATTCTGCACTGCACCTCAGGTCAGCTTGAGGTGCTGTGGTGCTGTATTCTGAGCAGGCATCAAGAGTTTCATGGTAATGCCAGGGGGTGGTGGGCTGACCCTGGCTGGATGCCAGCTGCCCAGGGAAGCTGCTCTGTTACTCCCCTCCTCAGCTGGGCAGGGGAGTGAAAATATGAAGAACGGCTCATTGGTTGAGGTAAGGACAGGGAGAGTTCAGTCACCAATTACTGCCGTGGGCAAAACAGACTCGACTTGGGGAAATTATTTCTCGAACTAGAGTATGGTAATGAGAAGTAAAATGAAATCTTAAAAATACCCGCCCCCCTCCCTTCTGGACTGAACTTTGCCTCAGAGTTCTCTACCTCTTCCCCCTGTAAGGTCCCTTTCACAAATTACTCCAGTGTGGGTCCTTCCCAAGGATCACAAGTCCTGCCAGCAAACCTACTGTGGCACCTGAGCACCTCCTCCCACTCCTCTACTGACCGTGGTGCTTGCAGAGTGGTTTCTTTCACATATTCTCACTCCTTTCTCTGCTGTTCTGTGGTTTTGGTTTTTCTTTTCTCCTTCTTAAGTCTGTTGTTCTAGAGATGCTGATGGGCTGTTGCTGATGGGCTCAGCTTTGGCCAGCAGCAGGTTCATCTTGGAGCCATCTGGCATTGGCTCTGTTGGACGTGGGGAAGCTTTTGGCAGAGTCTCACAGACATCCCTGTAGCCCCTGCCACTGCCAAAACCTTGCCAGGCAGACCCAGCACACAGGGTCAGGATCTTCTGATGTACAGGCAGGCATCCAAGTGATTTCATGAAAGGAAGACGTTTTCGGTGCTGCAAATTCAGAATTTTCCTGTGCTATTTCAACCTGTTCAAAGAGCTGGCAGTGTTGATTTTTTTTTTCCTTTATGAGAATTTACAGTGAATAGAGGAAGGAGAATGTGCATGATTTTTCTCTTTTAATTGGGAGAGTTAATGGGACTCGTCCTGTCTGCAAACAAGCCAGGGATTGTTTAGAGGATTGCATTTCACTAATAGGTGTATATACAACAATATCCTCGTCAACACCAGAAAAACTGTTTCATTAAAAAAAAGTCTGCCCTCCTTTCCCTGCTAGTGAAACCAGAGAAAAAAAAATAATTCCTCATCAAATTTGTTTTTTCTACAGCTCTTAATTACCCAGACTCAAATATGTTGTGTTACAACAATGACACCTAACTTTGACTTTCCTAGCTGTGTAAATGACAAAAGGAATGACAATTTCAGCAATTAATAAAAACAGTTGGGATCTGGCAATATGTAAACACAGTTGTTCAACTGAAAGCTTTTAGGTTAAGAAAATGAAAAAAATTGCAAACCAGAAAATAACAATATAGCCCCCTGGATGCTGTGGATGTTACTGAGATGAGCTAGAATACCTCTGACAACTCTTTGGGCAAGACCTAGTTGTTGATAGCATTGCAAGAGAAAATAACTGCAGTAAATAGAAGCTGTTTATCCCACATGCCTGTATTCCACCTGGCTGAACCTAGTGTAATTGAGTTGAGAAAAATAAGCAGATCAATAGCCACAGCACAGAGTAGAAAGTCCTGGAGAACTGTGTTTATTGTTATTTAGCCTGCTTTTATTCTTTCCAGTTTCTTTCCTCTCCTCCCTTGCTGTAGTCTGTTAGCTAAAATATATTGCTGAGCATTCAAGTAGAGCTGCCCCATGATACAGAACTGGGAATTAAAATTTCCTCCTCCTTCAACAACAAGGCAACATGACCAGTTTGGAGTCTGGCCATAAAATTAAGCATTAAGTGTTTGTATTTTTGAGAGATTTCTCCTTTGTTTCGGAAGAACACACTGTGACTTGAATCTTTTAACCTTCATTGCATTTCTATGTTCATGAGTTCATGTGCCCTTTGAAGAATGCCAGTTTCTGTGCCCATGTGGAGGAAGAGCTTATTACATAAGCATCTATACTAAGTATTCTATGGAAATATCAAGTACGGAATTTTAAGAAATGCAGTAAAACATCTATCACCTGCAAAATTTGCTTTTAGCTTGTCAGTTTTGGACTGAATAATGAATGTTTGATTTCCAGAAATCTTTAGTGAAAAAGCACCGAGTTTAGCCTTTTAGCAGGTATTGGTTTCTCTGGGTCTGGATTGAAGGCACTTGAGATGTTCATGTTCAGACTCAGATGTTATTATTTCTTATCAGTAAAACAGTCTCACAACCACAAGTTTGGCAGCTTTTCATTAGCAAGGCACAAAATGGCTAACAATCTCTTGTTACTAGGTCTTTTAAGACTAAACTATACAATTAAGAAAGGACACCTAGATTGTTTTCCCTTTTAACCCAATAACTGATCCCTGGAAGCCTGCAATGCAGACTTTTCTGTCCAATTACAAAACATCACCCAAATCCATGAAGAAGAAGGAAGAAGAAGGTAAAGAACAACCTGCCTACACCCTAAAACCTCCATCTTGCTTCATATTTATTTCTATATTCTAAAATCCCAAACTCTAAGTTTTTCACCCTGTGATATTACACACTTCTAACCAACTACACACCCGTAATCCCAGTACAGTCAATCAATTTTGGAAGCCTTCTTCACAGCCTCAGGTAACATGAAATGTTCTCTTGTGGATCTGTACCTTTTGCACAGAAAGTTTAAAATTCTCAGCATCCAGACTTCCAACAAGCAGGTACCATAAGATCATTGAGTTCAAGTGTTAACATGTTTGGACTTGATGGTCTTAAAGGTCTTGGGAATAAGGTTTCCTCTTGGTATCATTTCCTATAGTTGGGATGCTAGAGACTTCCTTTGGCTGGTACATCCCCTTAACTCTCCTTTGGCTCAGCATGATGGCCTCTCTTGGCCTGATTTTCCAAGTTCATCAATGTGAGCCTCTGTGACCCATCCCAGTGCAGAGGTACCTGCTTGGCTTCAGGATCCTCCTGT